AACATTGGTGCGATAGTGATTGCAAACATTGCTTTTGTTCGAAATGTTGGGATACGATTCATGAACTAGGTCAATATCGTACCCATACGAAATTACCGGTGAAGGAAAAACCGCTGAATGTACCCAGATGTGGAGAGCATAAGGATGAAGATCAAAGTCTTAAATACTGGTGTGAAAATTGTTCAAAGGAAATTTGTGGTGATTGTCAGAAATTGACACACAAGGATCATAAATTTGAATTAATAACTGGTTATGCCAAGTCGTTGGAGGAAAAGGTTAGTACTGTTGAGATTAAGACATCGATAAAAATCGTGCAATTCATATTTAGACCGGCAATAATTTACAAGGAGTTCAATCGTGTTTGACCTATCGATCGAATCGAGTGGATCAAATGGTGGCAGAGGTCGAAGAGGAAAGTCAAACGAATCAATCGAAAGTTACTAAAGCGATGACATCTCTTCGTCAACTGATCGATGAACAAGAACGAAAATTACTGGAAAGCCTTCGTAAGAATGAGCTGGGCGATAAGAAACGCATCGAAGATTACAAACAGCTACTCCAAGGTGAACAACAAGGTTTGATTGAGCAAATATTGAAGTTCGTGGTAGTTTGTCATGATAAGAATCTGAGAAAACTACTGGATACAAAACAACCATTCAATGATTACATCAACAGGACAAATACCAGGTTGATAGAGTTGAAGCCATTAAGTAGAATTAAACAGCATCTGCATAGTCTTGATGCATTGACGGACTTGGAAAATCAAATTCGGAACATCACCTTGCAGGAAATCCCGGAACATCAAAATGAAGAATTACGACAGCGAATGGCAAATACTACCGACCGATCAACGCTGAATTTATCGAGTATACACTTGACCAATCTGGATATGGAACTCGTGGCCAAAGAATTGGAAATCAACTGTGTACTCAATCACTTGTTTTTTCATGAATTTTATTCTGATATTCTTATCTCTATTTTCTAGGCATTGACCAAGCTTCAAATGTTTACCAATCAAATTAGTGATATCGGAGCACAACACCTGGCTGATGCACTTCGAACAAACACGGTAATATAGATCTATGTCATTGGATTCTAGTTACATCACAGAAATTCATTTCAACAGACACTGACGACTTTGGAACTACACGACAATCAAATCGGTACTGATGGATTGGAACATTTTGCTGATGCACTACGGACAAACAGGGTACGTCAGTGAAGATCATCACAATAACGTCACCAAATGTCTTGTTTTAGACACTGACTTCACTGACCATGTACAAGAATAAAATCGACGATCGAGTTGCTCACTTTGTGGCAGATAAACTGAAAAACAATAAAGTAAGCTACAACTCCGACTACATCGTATATTCTACTCACTTTCCCTCTCAATCGAGCATAGAAAAATTCTGCTTACCCGTGTTTCCATAAGCACTCATCTATTGAGTTTTAATTGTAGGACATGGAAACTCAAATTCGAAACATCAATGTCATAATAAATAAATACGAAAACCCACAACTTGAACAACTGATTGCGAACAACCTCAACTCGACACGTCTAAATTGGTCAAACAAAAACCTGAACGATAATGATATGGAAATCGTGGCGAACAAATTATTGAAAAACAACACGGTATGTGGGTGACTTCTGAAGGGTGTATCAACTAGGATGGTGGAATGAGGGTGAGGGCTATCTTTTCTATTGAGGATTACAGGCAACAATCGAACTATCTCTGACTGATACGTGATCGTATTTTGAAAGTCAATAGTTCGATTATGAGCGTTACTAACTCTGAATGACTGTCAGGTAACAAGTATTGAGTACAAGATTGAGAGCACAGCTTTGAGAAAGGTAGAATCAGTTCTCTGTCTATTCATCTACAGATAAAAAATTTCATAGCAAAAGCATCAACTATCCAGTCGCTAATTTTTAGAAATTGCAAGGATTGCAGCTGTATCAGAATCAAATCGGAGATACTGGAGCAAGCTACTTGGCAGAGGCTCTGAAAACGAATCAAGTAAGACATCTTTTCATGTCACATACCATTGACTTGACTGTTTCCAGATCACACCTCTGAGAGAAACTAGATCTTCACTGTAATATCGTGATAATTCCTATAACAGAGCACCATTCTTTTCAAGAAATGTCCGAAATTCGATGCTTTCGAGTTAACTCCTGTCCTCTCTCACTCTCGAAGCAGATCATATACTAGAATATCAGTGTATCTAACTTTGATATTGTGCTTCGTCATGGATGAAGGGTCTTTCTTCTTATGAGGGTTTCAAACGAACATTCTTCTGTGTGATAGGCACTAACTTATCTTGCATTATAACAGAATCAAATTGGAGATACGGGACCACAGCAGTTGGTAGAAGCACTGACAACAAACCCAGTGAGTCATAGCTTTCATGCTTAGATATTTCACGCGAGTTCTTCATCGTTTCAAACAACTAGTATTGTCCATGATTTCGATAAGAATGGTGATATCTCACGAAGTTCTCTCTGAGTCTATAGATGAGGATGTGGTTCTGTAGAAGAACTAACTACGAGATAGTCTTTTAGGAGTATGAAGAACAATTTAGAGTCCTACTCACTGTTTTGGTGGTCACCGTTCATGCATCAGATCGGAGACAGTAGAGTTCAGCATCGAGTAGAAGTAATTAAAACTAACAAAAGAAGAGGATCCGACTAATCCAGGTGCCCTCATCTCCTTCACCTGTGCCATCGAAGTTGACAATAATCAGAATAATCCAAAGATGAATAGATGGAAGAGAAAATGTCTTGACTTTCGATTCCTTAAAAGGCTTCATTTTCTACAGGCGCTGAAAGACCTTCGCTTGTACAACAATCAAATCGGAGGTTGGGGTGCACAATACTTAGCTGAAGCGTTAAAAACAAATCAAGTAAGCCGAGTGTAGAATTGTTCGACATTGTTTCATCAGAGTGCGAGAAAGTATTTGTGTCATAGTGAACTTTGAATCTACTCATGTCACACTTCAATAGCTCCCTGATCCTCATGTTAGAGTTTTATCACGGTTTGACATCGTTAACAGTAGAATAGAAGACGTATTGTAAGTCAATTCA